ACATGGAATCACACAGAGAAAACCTTCCTTTATCTAATTTTTAATCCCAGCACCAACACACATGGATTTCCAGCTTATTTTTGAGGCTTTAAGAAAATGTTCATGCCTGAAATAACAGCCATTCAATACTGACAAAAACTCCGTATTTTCCTCTTTGCAGATTGTGCAAATATGTATTTTCCTAGTATTAAAAAAAGAAAGAGAGATATAGAGAGAGAGAAAAAGAGAGAGAGAGAAAATACAATGAACAGAACTCCCTGGGACAGATGGATATCAAATATGGAGATCATACATAAAAATAAAGAATGAAATGGACCCCACAAATACTTCAATGATGACTTCCTCGTCTGTACATTCAGTGTAACAGCACAGAACACAACTTAGTGCCAAGAGCCAGGCAGTTAATAAACAAATAAACCACAGTGGAAAGGAGGTCTCAGTTTTGCACAAAGACAATTAGAGACATTTTCACAGCCTCAGCGAGGGAAGAAAGCAAAATTTAAATTCCAAGGCCAAATGTTAGCAGAAGACAATTATGGTGGAGCAGGTACAAAGGATGCTTCTCCACCCTCTCTGGCACAAATGCAGTCTTCAGTTATTGTTGTGACCAGAACTGTTTCTTCAGAGATTATGTGACCGAATGGATCTTTCCACATCACGTCATTAGCAAAACGGGCTTTGATTATTGCCCTAAATTAGAGTCAAAGCCTGAGTTGCTGCAGTGCAAAACCTGAAATTTATTTCAACCAGTCAATCACACTTAACACTGAGGAAAGAAGCTTTGTGCCAATATGGAATATTTTAGACAAGCGCAAGAAAGCCTTCAAGAAGTTAGTGGCCATCTGTTAGGAAAGCACATGATGATACGGCACAGCTTCTCTATATGCTAATACTGCAGTAATGAAGGTGGTAAATAAACATCACATTCAGACTGAAACAACAGGTCAGTAATGCAGTGTTTCAGTGACAGTTGCATTAAATTATATATTGCTTGGCTGTGTACCGTAAGCACTTTAAAATTTTTGTCATTGTTAGGACAATTACCGCGATGCAAAAGAAATCACTGAGAACACTGCTGAAAGAACCATGCTAAAACAATCATAATTTTAAGAATAAAATAAGATTCCTGTGATATAGTCAAAATGCAAATCTTCCCCTATTTTATACAATTCTTATACAGCTCTTCCCAGAACTGTCAGGATGCTAGCGTACTCGTCTAAATCTCCACTACTACCAGCTGAAGGAGATGCAATGCTTCCTGAACCCTGGATCTGATGACCCAGCAACTCTGTTGAATAACAGAAGTATAATTTCATCTGTTCTCTAAAACTACCTGAAATCACAGTCATTTCCGTGAGTTCAGTTCTCCTCTACCCCCTGGAAGCCCTATCTGTGGTCACTGACAGGACACTCTTTAGGAAGCTTCTCTCCTCTGCCTCCCTTCATTCTCTCTACACATGCACACGCGCACACACACACATACACACCCTCAGTAACAAATATGCCATTTATACCTAATTATATTTAATTTAACCTTCACGTATTTGTTTCCTTCAGATCTAAAAATTCATCTCACAAATCTGACTCCCTGGCTTTTTTTTTTTTTTTACTGTCTTGATATCTTTGCCAATAATTATAATCTTGCAGTAACACATTTTTCATCTGAAGTGTCTTGATAAAATGTTACCTTCTAGGTATAGAGGCAGGTAACTCAATCTAAGAGGAGATGACTGGACGTTCAGAGAGACATTGCAAGTCACGGAGAAGTCTGCTCCTCCTGAGCCAGGTTCTCAGTTTTTGTAATCAGCATTTTAATGGAGCCAGTACAATTTACCCCAACTGAAAATGTGGTTCTCCATTTTTTGCATAAGCATTTTCACAAACTTGTCAGACCAGAAACACATTATATACAACAGAAAACTTATCACCTTCTCTTCTCCTCAGCCAGCATTGTTGGAAGCAGCCTTTTTCTACATTTCATTAAAATAAACATCTTCCAGTTCCCAAGAATTCATTACGTAAAACTGGATATGTGAAAACTTGTAAAAGCATAGGGATAGGATAAAATTAACTTGGCAGGTACAACCACTTTTTGTTAAAATATTTGCAGAGCAGCGTTCAAATTATGAAACTCTGTTGTCCCTTCTCGAGCAAGAAGCATCAAAAATCACTGACTGTCTAACACTGCTTGACAACACCTCATCCCTTCCAAAAGTAAACACTGGTTGGTTCAGCCCTAAGTTTCTCTCTTACAAGGATAAGGACAGCTATGGGAAAAGACTCTTGAGGCTGACTTGTAAAAATCAAGAAAAAAATGGAAGCTGACTTATAAAAATCAAGAAAAAAATGGAATCAGTATTAAGTAAACCATTATAAAGAACAAAGAGGATTTCCTGAAGCAGGGCAAGTATAGGACAAAATATGTAAATGCGCTAACACAACGCAATCCAGTCATCTCGTCACCTCAGCACAGCGACCACTGTAGCATGCAGCTTTACTGCAACTACTGTTGTACCTATCCTAAAGTTTTTGTCCCTTCAGACGGCCAAACCTGATTTTAAAGTAAATTCTCTAAGTAGGAGTTTTGGCAGAAAGATAACCCTTTCAGAGAGGAGTATCTTGCACAAACCGATGGTTAATGTAACAGTAAGCAAGACACACGAGGCCTCGATTCTCTACCTTTAGCTCCAAAAGCTTTTACTCTCTCAAAGGAAAGATGGGGTGCCTCTTCCACCTGGAAGAACTGCATTGTTTCAACCTAACCAGGGACTCGGAATGAAACGTGGGTTATAGCTGCCTGCGATTTTTTCACAGCTCTTGAGTCTGTAGTTCCTGACATAAGAGCTAATTTTCTGTAATGTCTTATGAATTTATGGCATTTTGAGGATAATCAGCTGTTAAACTAATTGCCAGGCTTCAATTGCATTTACAGATGGCATTACATCATACACCTTCCTATCTGCATACCCTATTTTTTCCATGTACTGTAGGAATAACATTATTTGTGAAGTACTCAGATACCATTCAATAAACATTACAAGTAACACGAATTAGAAATAAAAGAAAATCCTCTTAATTAGGACACCCCAGTGAACAGCTTATTGTTCTGATTATATGACTGTTTCAATTAAGACAAGAGGTTATTCAAAAATAAAACAGCATGGAGAGCTTTAAAATGATAAAGTAAAATAAGCATTAATAAGTAAACCCTGGAAGAAAACTGATATGCACCTTGCATCTCCTTTCATCTTTAACAATTTGATGAATTTCATAACGCAATAAGCTTCTAACTTCTTAGTTCCTATTTAGGAAGTTTCAATTTAGCACTGGTGAAATAAATCCTTGTTCACCAAAACTTACAAAGATGTGATAAAGCATATCATTACTAGTTATGTTAATAAAGCAATGACTTCTTCCCTAAAAGTGGAAAATATTGCAAAATACTCTTTACTGTGACTGAAATTACAGTTTCAGACGTTTTCCTCCTATTTTCAGCTCTCACAGGAGCAGGGCCAATTAGCTCAGACGAAGTTTCGTGCTGTTTAGCCTCTATGTTTTGCCTCTATTACCTGAGCTGATTTGAGTATCTATATTGTACGGTATGCTGTGTATGGACATGCATATACACTACATCTTAAACTAAAATTAAGACCATGTATTGAGGAAGCCTATGACACGTCTGAAACACTTAGTGAAAACATCTTCCCAGTTAGCACTGCGATAGCGGCTGAGGGTCACAGTCTCTGCAACTTTAAATTCTCTGTCAGATGCCATGTAATGTCAAGTCTCAGTTTTTTGCAGTCAACTTCAGTCTCTCATTTTCCATTACAAGTAAACTGTCAACATCAACAGGCAGAAGGTTTCATTTTGAAAGCTGCCTGGAAAACCACCTTCAGGCTTCTCTTAGCTGCAAGAATTCTGGCGACTCACAGCTGCTACACTTAAAACACTTCAAAAAAAAAAAAGCCCTTAAAGTAAAAAGCTAATCAGTAAGAGATAGTAATCACATTCTATTGGATGTGCAGTAACAAGGACATCATAGCTGACTTGACCCTACAAATTGCAAATCTAAATAAATCAACAGGAATCACATGAAAAGAAAGACAGGCTAAGGATATTTTTTTAATGCACAGGCAGAAACCTCATATAAATATTTATTTTGAATCCCGCACACCTCCAAATTATACCAATCCTACAGCAAAATCTTGTTATATTATGCATGTTCCCTCGGAGGTGTACACATTTTGTAGTATATAACATGTTTTCCAGTGTCTAACTGTTCTGAAGAGGCTTTCAAGACTTCTAGAAAAAGCTTCCTCCTCCCACCCACCCCTACTGCTAGTTTCTATGATGGGCCTAAAAAGTCAGAGAAAAACAGAAATGTGTTGTTGTATGACCTGATAGTTTGAAACTATAACCTACTTGGCTGAATAAAATGGATCTGAATGTCTTGAAACTGTCAACTGTGTATATATAAGATCAGTAACTCATTTTTGGAAAATGAGCTTCTTCACTAGGATTTGTTTTCATGCTTTAAAAAAAATTATCATAATTTAACTGGGATAAACAATCATTAAAATATTTACCAACACTATTTAGTAAATACTATAATATTTAAACACTACAAATATAGCTTTGCAATCTCCCCGGCAAATACGCTGTGTAGAAACTGACATTGTTTATTCCAATTTTCTAGGCACAGACTGAGGCAAATCAACAGTCTTGTACAGGCACATTTATATCTCAGAGATGCAAATCCATTTCACCTATATATCAAATATCAGGGTAAAGTACTTAGTATAAAATACCCTGCTTTCAGAAAACTGTAAGTTCATGGAGATAACTTAGAATGCCCCAGGCAATCAAAGATCTATTCATGCCATATACTGTGCTGTGGTAATTCATATTGTGCCTTCGGCTGTGCATACGTTAGCAAGCAATGCACTGCCCTAGGAGCAGACCTTTCAGAGTGAAAAGTTGGTATGGAAGATCCAACATACGTGTTTCAGGGGTTTTCCTTTGGACTAGCTTTAGATCGGTCCTGCGGACTGAAGGCCCACTAACCATGTGAACGCATTCCAAGGGTGGAACTCCCGAAACACATCTTCCAGCTCAGTTCCGCTCAAAAGGAATTCATTTCTTGGGCTCCACAACCCATTCTGTAATAAGAATTAAACAACAGTAGAGCAGGCAATGATCAGGAAATTTGTTTCAAAAAAGTATTCCTGATCCAAAAAGGTGCACTACGGTGGAGGTACCCCACGCATTTGCAGCGGGCAGGAAAAACATTTCTGCTTGGCCAGAAATCTGATATGCCATTTGATATGGCAGCCTATCATTAGGCCTGATAATGTTGGACTGCGTTAGTTTAATGGTGATTTAGCATTTCAGGTCTTTCACTGATAACACTCTAAAACAGAATTCATTCCACAAATAAAAATATTAAGCTTCAAATCTTCTTTAACTCCCCATTCTTAACAGGGATTTGATTTTTCACACTGAACGGGTTACATGAGTGCCCACAGAAAAAGACACTCTGTTTAGCCATGCTGATATCTTTCGCAGTCCCTCCCTTAATGCTACAATATTTTGTGTTTTGTGCTAAGTCCTAACTGAGTGAAATAATCCTAAATGTTTCACTCCCCAAAGAAACAACTACCTCCCTTCCCTGTTGTTATTTTTAAAGTGTCATGATTTAGGAGCCTGCTTAATGAACTGGAATACCAGGCACTGGCAAAACGCAGTCAGTCAATCATGTTGTAGATCTTGCAGACTAATTTTGTTATACTTACAAGAGAGGCCATTTATAATTTCTAGCACAAGCCAGCTGGAGTGGTTGCTGTGGGTGCAGACAGTGGCCCAGTGTTGAATAATTAGAATTCAGAGCTACAAAACAGGACTCAGCTACAACAATTCAAAAAATTACTGTGAATCAGCTGTACTAACACCCTGTGCTACTTTTGGCAAATCATGTACGTTTTCTGTGTCTCAAACTGTTTTTATTTGTAAACAGGAAATATATCTTCCCTTCCTCATAGAAATACCAAAATGATAAATTCTTGAACAACACACACAGGCATTATTGTTCCATTGATGAAGACCACATAAATTACATAGCCAGGGAACAATAACTTGACCAGCTGCTGAAGCTAAACAGCTAAATTTTTTGTTGCCTCTAACTAATATCGAAGGAAATAATATGCTTACGAGTATTTCCTATACTTGAAATAAATTCAGTAGCTATTTCAAATGCTGGATTATCTGGATGGGGTTTTTTTGTGTTTACTTGTTTTGTTTTTTTTCATACTTAGATCAGGAAACGACATTTAGATTATTCTAAACAAAGCTTATTAAAAATATTATTAATTATATAAGCTAAACCTACCATATTTAATGCAAATGCGACCTACAGTATGATAATTTTGTTCAGGGGAATCTAGTATCTCACACTGTTTAACCTAGCCTTACAAGATTTTGCACATACAGCATTCTAATGTGTACAGCATCAGGCTTTTAAAATTGCTTCTATAAATACATCTGATCAGGATGTAATGCAACAAAATGCAGCATTTTGTAGCATATGGCATACAAAGCTGTGAAGTGAAGGGCCTGCTTAGATCTCAGCTGTAGCATGCCACCTAGTTTGTTCCATAACACTTATCTAACCATATGGCTCATCCTAGGTGGCAAGCCACCACCAAAACACAGGTGTGTATTATTTCACCTAAATTTATGACCCATGCAACAGAAAGCTGCAATCATCTCTTCTAGTTCCATATTCAATATCAATTCTGCTGTATAAATTTACTTGGAGTTTACTACAAGAAACAAGCAGAAATTCTGCATCATACCTGTGCGTGACAAAACGTTTCATCACAGTAAGAACTGCTTAAACACATTTCCCTTTGGAGAACAGGGCCTGATCTATAGTCCCCTGATAGTGGCATAAAGCATGGAACAAGGATGATTCATTTTAAAAGTCCAAACTTTCAGTGTCTGATCAACAGAAAGTGTATTTCCCAACTTCCTCCAAAACAAACTCATAGGTATGGAATGAAAATCTCACTCATTCTGGCTTTTTTCTTAATGAAGTAAACTCTCCATGTTTTCCCTAGACTAGGCTCTCCAAGGTTCCTATTTCAGAACTGTTTTGCCTGTGAACTAGATCCTCTCCATTAACACAGTCTCTCTCACTTGCTTTCTACCTGGCTAGTGTAATAAGCTATCTGTTTCAAAAAGTCCTCAGGGCTTACTAGCGTCCTAAAGGACCAGAAATCTACAGAAAGGCTTCTGTTTTTCAGACAAAAATTGCCAGTTTGTTACAGTATCACAAATACCCTCTAACTCCTCATAAATCAGAAGAGGCCCAAATGCATAAAAGATTTTTTTACTGCTCTCTATATTAAGATACTAAAAGAAAGTTGTAGACTTGTCACTCTAACGAGTTATATAAGCTAATATTGGGGTTACTTTTTCCAGCTCTTTCACCTTTTCATCAAACATCCCTTTTTTGCAGGATGCTCTGAAATGCTTTGCCCTGAAAACTGGAAATGTCTCAGTTCATCCACTATACACAAAATATAAATACACAAAATAGATAAAACCCAACTTTAGAGTTGTCGTGAACAGAGCTGGCATTTCAGTATTTGAAATAAGCACTGGAAATATTTGCTAGAACCACAAACAATTTTATTAGGCAAACATATGAAATACAGTAACAGCTTAATCTTATTCTCATTGGAGTCATTGGAAGTTTTGCCATTTACTTAAATAGGAAACAGATCAAACACTAGAAGCTTAATAATCCTAGATCACTCACCATTGTGCAAATAGCAGTTGATTAATCTGAGGTACCATTGTAACATACAGAATAGTTCTGTTCAGAAAAAAGTGAAGTCTCACTCTTCACAGGACGAACATCTCTCCTACCACAGAAACTCCAGGAGCAACCCATCATGCTGCAGGAGTAGCCTGGGCAGGAGATCTCTACCCTCCTCACACCCTCAGCCTTCAGGGCTTGGGTGCCTCCCACCAGGTCTCTCTTAGCTCTTCCCAGAGCTCTCCTGTGGACGTCGCATGAATGAAATGAGGTCTAAATATAGCAATTGATAAGCACAGCTATGGGACAGTCTTCGAGTCCTTGTATAACTGGCCACCTCACACACACCTGCTGAAAATCAGGTTCTTCGGTCAGCTCACTAAAATCAGTGAGTCTATGCAGCTACGAGTTTAGAGTATCAGGCAGAACGATTCTGTGCTTATACAAACTCTGTTTCAATGAATCCAGAATAAAGTAGCATCTTCACAGTCTTTAGCTTTATCAGGATATTTTTGCAAATAAATTTGTTTTTAGACAATGATAAATAACAGAGGAGATAATGTATATTTTGCTGCTAACTTCTGTCAAACAAATGCTAGTAAAATACCTCATCAACACTATGTAGACATGACGCCAGAACGGTACAGCAATTATGAACCTTTTAAAGACATTTTAACCATATGTCTTGATCAATTTGTATGCAGATCCCTTCCCTCAGCAGAACTTCTTTGAACCAACTGTTAGCCCATATTGTTGAACTGAATCCAGTAAAACAGAAGTGACTATAAAAATTGTTCCTTTTTCATTCGATTAGCAATAAAAATGCAAATCAAATCAAAGTATTATTTTTTAGAGCAGCCTGCAGGTTTTATAGGTAGCTAGCAAGTCATAAAGAGATGTATATTTACAAAAAAGTTTGTAATTCTTACCAATTTTTTAAAACAAAATATAGCTAACTAAATTAAACTGACTATAAGTATGACCTTAAATCATAGGATATCTTGAAAGTTGACATGAAAAAAAAGGACAAGGGAAAAAAAAAAACAAAGACTACAGGAAGTCAGAAATATGGCACATCCTCTCCTCCTTTTCTGTTTAACTCATCATGCTGAGGCTCAAAGCTACTGCACATATCATGTAGATATGGTATCTTAAAAGTTGTGTAAGTAGGAAACTGTGCCAAAAACAGTTATGGACAACATTATTCCTTGTAATATAAAAATGACTATGAAATTTGTATGTAAAGCATAAAAATATGCACGCTTTGTGTATTTGAAAGACAATTTAAAAATATTTTCAAATTAAAAGAACTGTATTTCTTTTTTATTGGTTATGAATGATTTACGTCATTGATTTAGGTTGTACATTAAAATATTGCATATATACGCTTCATTATATAGTTGCTAAAAATCAAAAGGAGATAGGATTTTTCTTTTGCTTAAAACATGAAATATGTTATTTTGGTTTTTCTCCAAGTTTTAAAAGGCAGAATAGGCTGTAAAATATCCTAGTTGAGGAAATGACCTGTCAAAACACACTATTCTAAGATTAACGAATTATTTGCCATAAATAGTCCCAATTACTTGATCTTTTAGAGAAATATAGTATTACATTCCACATATAACAATGCTGAATTAGGTGAATAATCATAAAAAAATGTAAAATACGTTCAGAGCAGTATGGAGCAGGGTACAACAGAAAAGGTTAAGCAGCACTTCTGATGGTGAAAGGTTTAACCTGGTTCATCTTCAGTTTTTGTCACTCCAAAGAGGCAAACATGGAAGATAAATGACCTTGTTTATGTAAATGTAACTATGCACAGCCTTGACAAATTCAAACGACAACCATGAAAGTCAAATTTTGAGCAAGCATGTTCTACCTACCTTAGGCAAAGTATATCTCAAATGTTATTCATGCTTTATGTGAAAATGTGGCTTGAACAGTGTTCATCACACAGACTCCATTAAAAACCTTACTCTCTTTCAGGTTTTTAGGGATACTAACTTAGGCTGAGAGAATGCATTAGGGTGGCGAGTTAAAGAATGATTTATTTAAAGAATGGTTTAATGGTTTGTTTTCTTTTACTTTCAATCTCTTCGATGGGTTCAATTGCTTTCTTTAATCTTTGAATCCTTCCTATTATTACCATGGTAGCACTGCACTAAGTGTTGAGTTCTGACTAAGCTGTCCAACTTTTCGACTGGAGCTGCCTACCAGTTTTGAACAAAATCAGGGCAGTAGAGACGAATG